TCCACCAGAGACTGCCCAGCCACCCACAACCCTCCACCAGAGACTCATGCCCCAGCCACCCACAACCCTCCACCAGCGACTACTCCAGCCACCCACAACCCTCCACCTCAGCCACCCACAACCCCACCAGAGACTCATACCCAGCCACCCACAACCCTCCACCAGACTATACCCAGCCACCCACAACCTCCACCAGAGACTAACTCCAGCCACCACAACCTCCACCAGTGACTATACACCAGCCACCCACAACCTCCACCAGAGAGACTACCCAGCCACCCACAACCCTCCACCAGAGACTATCCAGCCACCCACAACCCTCCACCAGCGACTACACTCCAGCCACCCACAACCTCCACCAGAGACTATACTCCACACCCACCACCTCCACCAGAGACTACACTCCAGCCACCCACAACCTCCACCAGAGCCATACTCCAGCCACCCAACCTCCACCAGAGACTATACCCAGCCACCCACAACCTCCACCAGAGACTATACTCCAGCCACCCACAACCCTCCACCAGAGCTCACAATCGCACCCACCACCTCCACCCCAAGACTATAATCAGCCACCCACAACCCTCCACCAGAGACTCCAGCCAACCACAACCTCCACCAAGAGCCAACCACCCACAACCTCCCAACTATACTCCAGCCACCAACCTCCACCAGAGACTATACTCCAGCCACTCCACCACCCTCCTCCACCAGAGACTATGACCTGCCACCACAACCCTCCACCCAGGACTATGCACTCCAGCCACCCACAACCTCCACCAGAGACTACACTCCAGCCACCCACAACCTCCACCAGTGACTACACCAGCCACCCACAACCTCCACCAGAGACTATACTCCAGCCACCCACAACCTCCCACCAGAGACTATACCAGCCACCCAACCTCCCACCAGAGACTACAGTGCACCAGCCACCACAACCCTCCACCAGACTATACTCCAGCCACCCACAACCTCCACCAGAGACTATACTCCAGCCACCCACAACCTCCACCAGAGACATACCTCCGCCACACAACCCTCCACCAGAGACTACATCTGCCACCCACAACCTCCACCAGACTACACCTGCCACCCACAACCTCCACCAGAGACTACAATCCAGCCACCCACAACCTCCCCACCAGAGACTACACTCCAGCCACCCACCACCTCCACCAGCAGCTACACCCAGCCACCCACAACCCCCACCAGAGACTACACCCAGCCACCCACAACCCTCCACCAGAGCTACACTCCAGCCACCCACAACCCTCCACCACCAGAGCTACACTCCAGCCACCACAACCTCCACCCAGAGACTCATACTCCATCCACCCACAACCTCCACCAGAGCTACACCCAGCCACCCACAACCTCCACCAGCGACTACACTCCAGCCACCCACAACCTCCACCAGAGACTATACCCCAGCCACCCACACACCCTCCACAGAGGCCATACCTGCCACACCCACAACCCTCCACCAGAGCTACACTCCAGCCACCCACAACCCACCAGAGCTAACTCCAGCCACCCACAACCCCCTCCACCAGAGACTATACTCCAGCCACCCACACAACCTCCACACCAGAGACTATACTCCAGCCACCCACAACCTCCTCCACCACCAGCTACACTCCAGCCACCCACCACCCCTCCACCAGACAGACTACACTCCAGCCACCCACAACCCTCCACCCAGAGAATTACACCAGCCACCCACAACTCCTCCACCAGTGACTATACCCAGCCACCACCACCCTCCACCAGAGCCATACCTCGCCACCCACAACCTCCACCAGAGAGACTATACCCAGCCACCCACAACCTCCACCACCAGAGACTACACCCAGCCACCCACAACCTCCACCAGCAGCCACACTCCAGCCACCCACAACACTCCACCAGCAGCCACACTCCAGCCACCCACAACCCTCCACCAGCAGCGCCACACTCCAGCCACCCCACAACACTCCACCAGCAGCCACCCAGCCACCCACAACCTCTCCACCAACAGCCACACTCCAGCCACCCACAACCCTCCACCAACAGCCACTCCTCAGCCACCATCAGCCACCACAACCCTCCACAGGCATACACCTCCAGCCCTCCACCAGCCACCCACAAACTCCACACCAGCAGCCACCTCTAGCCACCATCAGCCACCCACAACCCTCCACCAGCAGCCACACTCCAGCCACCCACACTCCACCAGCAGCTACACTCCAGCCACACCCACAACCCTCCACCAGCAGCCACACTCCAGCCACCCCACAACACTCCACAGCAGCCACACCAGCCACCCACAACCCTCCACCAGCAGCCACACTCCAGCCACCCACAACACTCCACCAGCAGCCACAATCCAGCCACCCACAACCTCCACCAGCAGCCACAATCCAGCCACCAACCTCCACCAACAGCCACCCAGCCACCCACAACCCTCCACCAACAGCTACACCGCCACCCACAACACTCCACCAGACTCCAATCCAGCCACCCACAACCTCCACCAACAGCGCCACACTCCAGCCACCAACAACCCTCCACCAACAGCTACACTCCAGCCACCCACAACCCTCCACCAACAGCACACACTCCAGCCACCCACAACCCTCCACCAACAGCCACACTCCAGCCACCCACAACCCTCCACCAACAGCCAATCCAGCCACCCACAACCTCCAACAGCAGCCACCCCAGCCACCATCAACCACCCACAACCCACCAGCAGCTACACCCAGCCACCCACAACCCACCATCAGCAGCCACACTCCAGCCACCCACAACCCTCCAATACTCCACACCCAGCCTCCACCAGCCACCCTCTCTCTCCACCAGCAGCCACACCCAGCCCACCAACCACCCACAACCCTCCACCAGCAGCAACACTCCAGCCACCACCAGCCACCCACAATCCTCAACCAGCAGCTACACCCCAGCCACCCACAACCCTCCACCAGCAGCCACACCCAGCCACCACCAGCCACTCACAACCCCACCAGCAGCTGCACCCAGTCTCCACCAACCATCCACAACCCTCCCACCAGCAGCCACACCCAGCCTCCACCAACCACCCACAAACCTACACTCCAGCAGCTACCTCTAGCCACCACCACACCCACAACCCTCAACCAGCAGCTACACCCCAGCCACCCACAACCCTCCACCAGCAGCCACACCAGCCACCACCAGCCATTCCACAACCCCTGACCAGCAGCTGCACTCCAGTCTCCACCAACAATCCACAACCCTCCCACCAGCAGCCACACTCCAGCCTCCACCAACCACCCACAACCTCCCAGCAACAGCTACACCCAGCCACCAACAGCCATCCACAACCCCCGACAGCAGCCACACTCCCCAGCTCCACCAACCACCCACAACTCTCCACCAACAGCTACACTCCAGCCACCAACAGCCATTCACAACCCTCGACCAGCAGCTACACTCCAGCCTCCACCAACCACCACAACCCTCCCAGCAACAGCTACACTCCAGCCACCAACAGCCATCCACAAACCCTGACCAGCAGCCACACCAGCCTCCACCAACCACAACCACCCACAACCCTCCACCAACAGCTACACCCAGCCACCAACAGCCATCCACAACCCTGACCAGCAGCTGCACTCCAGCCTCCACCAACCACCCACAACCTCCCAGCAACAGCTACACTCCAGCCACCAACAGCCATCCACAACCCTCGACCAGCAGCTACACTCCAGCCTCCACCAACCACCCACAACCTCCCAGCAACAGCTACACTCCAGCCACCAACAGCCATCCACAACCCTCGACCAGCAGCTACACTCCAGCCCACCAACCACCCACAACCCTCCCAGCAACAGCTACACTCCAGCCACCAACAGCCATCCACAACCCTGACCAGCAGCTACACTCCAGCCTCCACCAACCACCCACAACCCTCCCAGCAACAGCACTCCAGCCACCAACAGCCATCCACAACCCTCGACCAGCAGCTACACTCCAGCCCCACCAGCCATCCACACCTCTCCAAGGCTAACTCCAGCCACCAACAGCCATCCACAACCCCGACCAACAGCTACACTCCCACCTCCACCAACCACCCACAACCCTCCCACCAGCAGCCATCCAGCCCACCAGCCATCCACAACCTCCACCAGCAGCCACCCAGCCACCACCACACCCACAACCCTCCACCAACAGCCACACTCCAGCCTCCACCAGCCATCCACAACCCTCGACCAGCAGCTCCACTCCAGCCACCCAACCCTCCCACACCAGCAGCTACATTCAAGCCTCCACCAGCCATCCACAACCCTCCCACCAACAGCCACACTCCAGCCTCCACCAACCACCCACAACCTCCCACCAACAGCACACCCAGCCCACCCCAGCCATCCACAACCCTCCCACCAACAGCTACACTCCAGCCTCCACCAGCCATCCACAACCCTCCCACCAACAGCTACACTCCAGCCTCCACCAGCCATCCAAACCCTCCCACCAACAGCTACACTCCAGCCTCCACCAGCCATCCACAACCCTCCCACCAACAGCTACACTCCAGCCTCCACCAGCCATCCACAACCCTCCCACCAACAGCCACACTCCAACCACCCCACAACCTTCCAACAACAGGCCACCCACAACCCTCCAACAGCAGCTACACTCCAACCACCCACAACCCTCCAACAACAGCTACACTCCAGCCACCCACAACCCTCCAACAACAGCCACCCAGAATCCTCCACACAGCCACACTCCAACCAACCCACAACCTCCTCCAACAACAGCCACCAATCCTCCAACAACAGTTACACCCAACCACCCACAATCCTCCAACAACAACCACCCACAATCCTCCAACAACAGCCACCCACAACCCCCCAACAGCAGCTACACTCCCCACCCACAATCCTCCAACAACAACCACCCACAATCCTCCAACAGCCACCCACAACCCTCCAACAGCAGCTACCTCCAACCACCCCACAATCCTCCAACAACAGCCACCCACAATCCTCCAACAGCAGCTACCTCCAACCACCCACAACCCTCAACAACAGCCACCCACAATCACTCAACAACAGCTCACTCCAACCATCCACAATCCTCCAACAGCAGCTACCTCCAGCCACCCACAACCCTCAACAACAGCCACCCACAATCCTCCAATAACACTACACTCAACCACCCAACCCTCCAACAACAGCTACACTCCAACCACCCTCATTCCTCCAACAGCAGCTACACTCCAGCCTAATCCTCCACACAGCAGCTACACTCCAACCATCCACAACCCTCCAACAGCAGCTACACTCCAACCATCCACAACCCTCCAACAGCAGCTACACTCCAACCACCCACAACCCTCCAACAGCAGCTACACTCCAACCACCCACAATCCTCCAACAGCAGCTACACTCCAACCACCCACAACCCTCCAACAGCAGCTACACTCCAACCACCCACAACCCTCCAACAGCAGCTACACTCCAACCATCCACAATCCTCCAACCGCAGCTACACTCCAACCACCCACAACCCTCCAACAGCAGCTACACTCCAACCACCCAACTCTCCAACAACAGCTACACTCCAACCACCCACAACCCTCCAACAGCAGCTACACTCCAACCACCCACAATCCTCCAACAGCAGCTACACTCCAACCACCCACAATCCTCCAACAACAGCTACAGTCCAACCACCCACAACCCTCCAACAGCAGCTACACTCCAACCTTCACCAGACAAGATGTCCCTGCATTACCCACGTCATCAGATATTGATGAAACTGAAGAGGTGCAAAAGAGATTGGGTCAGTGTCCCCTCTTACTTATAACAACCACCTCTCTCTCATCATCCTCATCCACCATCATCCTCAATGAAGTTAAATACAGGTAGTCCCCGACTTACGACTGCTTGGACTTACGTCCATCGGTACTTACGACCTGCTCTGACCTTAGGACCGTTGGGACATATGACCGCTGCAGTTGTGACCATTTTTTTTTCTTCAAATGACACACACATTTTCTACACCGAAACGTTTCCAGTTAATGTAGTCTCCATGTATAATTAGAAAATTATGGGGACCCCGTGTGCATTCAGCTGACTACATTAAAGGTAAGTCACACTGTATCCATTCCTCATTATTTATTACTTTTACTATACTGTATTTCACTGTAGATTTTTTTTTTAATTTTGAAAAAGAAATTTAATTTTTTTTTTATCTGTCGGACTTACGACCATTCGGACTTACGACCTGGATTTAGGTCCCTAACCCCGTCGTAAGTCGGGGAGCACCTGTACAGTTAAATTTATATTACAGTCGACCCTCGTTAATTCGGACCCCTTTAATCCAGATTTCGGATAAATCGGACGAAATCTGAACTGTCCGTATCAAATTTCTGGTTCTGGGATTGTCCCAGTAGCAATTGGGGTTGCAATTTCAAATTCTGTGTCATTACTAAGAAATAAAGAAGTCACTGGTGTACTGCAGTCTAAGATATAAAGAGAGACATAGCTACATGTTTTGTGGACTACCCACTTTACAGTATCCTTTTCATCACTTTGCAATAAACCTCGTTATGCCTATGTGTTTCTGATAATTACCATAACATTATATATTTATATATTTAGCGGTTGTACAAACACAAGGCCTCACACATGCCATTCAGACTGACAGACTTGACAAGTTTTACCAACCATAAAGACAGTTGAAGCTTTAAACATCACTCACAATGGATCTTGAATATTCCAACTGTAATCAGACATACCTAAAGTTGCCTCAACAATTGCAACCCCAGTTGCAATATCAAATTCTGTGTCATTACTAAGAAATAAAGAAGTCACTGGTGTACTGCACTCTACGATTAAGAGAAAACGGACGACTCAGGCATCCTGAAGTGAGAGAAAACGGACTCCTATGACGGGGCACTCAAATAAACATACACATAGCTGTATAATGCAATATAAACCCCTAAATCGGTTAATTCGGACAATCGGCTAAAACGGACACCCTTCCCCCCTATTAGTCCGTTTTAACGAGGGTCGACTGTGTACTATTTAATTTATATTATGCTATTTTATATGTATTTGACTCAAATTTAATGAAATGAACAATGCAGGTAGCTATTGTTCTGTGAAAGAACAAGCAACTTAAATTAGGCTTTGAAGAGTGTTATCGTCAGCCGTGGAACCTAACTCCCCTCATTTCCCATGAGCCTTTAGTCTTACCAACTACACGATTCTCCAGCAACCTAACCACTGCGGTTGGTCAGGGAATACTGTAGAACCTTCCGCTCAATGTTTAAAATAAATTTTAAGTTTTTCAATTTTTTTTCACCTGACTTTTTATTTCTCTCCCCCATTTTTTTTAAAAATAATGCCCATCATTTCTGTATGTTTCATGTCATTTCTGACAACGTCATGTTTTTTCATCTGAAATTTTTGTGTCATTAGAAGCAACCTCAAAATGCTTCATTCAGAGTGAATACCACAGTATAAAACACATTATGAAATTTTCCATATTTTTTTCATTCATTATTTTGGGTTTGTGACTGAACTCGAGGCTTACACCAAAAAATATTGAAATTGATGATGCAGTGACGAAAAATGGGAATAACTTAGGGCGATGCATTATATCAAATCATTATACAGTATTGAATCATGCTATCTCAAGGGTCTACTGTACTGTATTTTCTCTCAGTCCACAAAAGCTCCATCAAGCTTGTGAAAGGAAATAACATTACAGGTACAGCAGCACATATGGTTGGACAAACAGAGGAGTTTAACACTTTATGCCACTCTACAGAGGGGTCATATTAATACAGCAGTTAAATTATGCAGTAATCTAATAATATTGCTATATTTACTGCTTCCAGATAATAAGCACAATAAACTAAATATCTTTACCTCTTCTGACTCTGCTAGTGGTTGCTTCTTTTTCCTCTGTGTTCTTTTCTTTGCTTGAAGGGAAGTTATTCTGTTATGAATGTGTGTGAAGCCATTTTTACCTTGAGATACGTGCCGTATACTTGGGGCTATTCCACTTGGCAAGGATAAACTACCAGCTGCAACCTGGTTCAGTAAGCGAGTTGACGGTTCCCATGGTAACTGACCAGATAAAACACCGAACTTGTGACTCCGTCTGAACAATGCACTTCTGTTAAAATTTATCTTGCTAAACTCTGAGGAGACTGCAGTGGTTAATGATGACTGTATGCTCTGTAAAGTAAGACCATATCTAATGTTTGTGACACAAGAGGTTTTATTGGCCAACTGTTGGAGCTGCGATTCATTCTGAAGAATTTTTTTTTTACAGCAGGCTGGAGGTAGGTAACTGTTATAACTATGAAATGGCAAACACAAGAATGGTATCATTGGGTCCGGGGCTCTCTTATAAGTGGCTGAATCATGTATTGAGCACTGCGTCCATGTAGATCTGTTTCTTGACTCTTGCACTGGAAGCACCTTGGTAACTCCTCTAAAATGTCTCATCAGTGTTCTGCCATATACACCTTGAATGGCCATTCTCTGGAAAAATAATATACCCTGTATCATACTATAACAATCAGAAAATTTCACATCTGCAAATTATTTACATATATTTACTACAAATACCGTATATCACGGCCTATAAGACGAAATTTGAACATTAAAAAAATCTGCCCAAAGTTAGGGGGTCGTCTAAACCACCAAGTTTAAAATTCTTACCTCTTAAATATTGTGGTTTAGTGTGTCAAGAGTGGTGATGAAAACATCGTAAGCCACTCACAAGGTCTTACCACTAATTATTTTATACTGAAACTTACGTTTGGCAAGCTGGATTCAAATTAAGATTACCGGTATATTAAAATAATAAAAATGTATTATAAACCTGTCTAACATACCGTAAAAGAGATTTATACCCCTATAATAAACACAGCTATCATCACACACCCCTCCCCACGCCCCCCCCCCCATTTGCCAGTGAGGAGCCGTGGAGGTGGTCAGTAATGCATACCGGTATCGGTATATTTACTCATAATAATATTTATCTCCTATAAATAATTGATTTAAATTTTATTTTTTTCCAAAGAATATTCAGTAAATGAGTGCATTAATTCTTGAAACTATCGATGGTTAATTACAGACGCTCAAGTGACGTCACTAGTGTTTACACTACACCAGCTGGTAATATTTGATGCCATTACTTGAAGTGAATTGGCCTTATTTTAAGTAACTAACTATAAATAAATACAAAAATTAAAAAAAAAGATCAAAACTGAGAAATAATATACTGTATGTATGTTGTGTTGTCAAAGTAAGAGGAACAATTGTGTAAGTACGTAATATTTTTTCACTCAAATCCTAATGAAACACTACTGGAGAACATTCCTTTGTCGCAAAACAGTTTATAAATTAAAGAAAATAATTACAGTGTGTTTAATATATTACAGTATATTATAAATAAATAAATAAAACAAATAATTCGGTAAATCTATTTAAAGTAAATGGAAAATAAGCAAACATGTTATTTACCAAGACCCTTCCGTCTGGCTCAGGGTGAGATGGAGGGGAGATAAAGAAGGCTATTTATAGCCCATCAGAAGTGACCAGTACCCTAATGCACCATAAATAATTCATTGAACATTCATTTTTTGTACATAGTATATTCAGTATATATATATATATATATATATATATATATATATATATATATATATATATATATATATATATATATATATATATATATATATATATATATATATATATATATATATATATATATATATATATATATATATATATATATATATATATATATATATATATATATATATATATATATATATATATATATATATATATATATTTGTGTAATAAATGTATGTAGTAAGTACATACTGGTAACCTTTTTCACTCAAATCCTAATGAAACACCACAATTAGAATACGGTGGTTGCTGTTGAACCACATGTTGTATAAATAGTCACACCACCGAGACGAGGGAACACTCCCACCACGCTTCAGTGACGTCACTAGTGTTTACACTACACCAGCGGGTATAATTTGATGACATTACTTGAAGTGAATTGGCCTTATTTTAAAAAATCAAGGATGGTTGGTAAAGGACTACTGAGTCAGTGGGTAAGTGTCACATTTGGGGTACTGGTCTTATACAGCAAATAGAGCTCAAAAGCTACTTTTTAAATGGAAATTTGGGGGGGGCGTCTTATGCACCCCGCCGCCTTATAGGCCGTGATATACGGTATAGATTACAATACGAGTGATATCTCCGTTAACCGGAACAATTGGTGCAGAGCACTTCCGGGGATGAGAGATTTCCCCGATAAGGAGACGACTCTCTCATAGCAGGAAAAAAATCCCTCATCCCCGGAATTTTCCGGAATTCTCCGATAGCTGGAATTGAAATTTGCTCGGAAAATCATTCCCAAAGCCGGAATTTTCAAAAAATTTCCGGTTATGGGAACCAATTTTCCGAGGCTGAAAATAGAGAGCATTTTCTGAAAATGTCTAGAGTAAAGACGAAAGTTAAAGTAATTTGGGGGAGAACCTGAACCTGACTCAACATCAGGTGGAGGTAGGGTGGGGGATTAGTGGTCTCATATTACTGACCTTCTGATGCAATGTCAGGTCATCCTTTCTCGGGTGGGGGGATTAGTGGGTCTCATGACCTGATGTCTTGAATAAACACGAAACCTAAAGTATTTTAGGGAGATTGTGATAAGTATAAGTATAAATGAGCAAAGTTGTATCCCTTCAACTAATATTATACTAAATAATATTTAAAATATGGAGTGAGAATGTGTGTACAGTCAACAAAATATTATTCTGCACCTTTAAGAGTTCCTACAGTATGACACACCAGACCAAGAATTTTGAAAACACTCATGAGTCAAAGCGGATAGAATTTACCATAAGGTGTTTCGGTGTGTCTGTGTGCACAATGTGTTACAAGATGCGAATAGAGCAGTTAAAATCATATAACTATACAGTATCTATAAAATAATCTTATTAATATCAAAAGCAATTGCCATTACAACACCTGCTGTTTGCTCTGATGGTCTGCCCTTAGCAGATCGAAACTGCTCCATTTTTAACAGATTCATTACATTCTTTTAAATGAGCACACTTCCTCTGGCGAAATTCTTTGCTACACTATTAAATATCACTGACAACGTTTTAGCTTTGTGAATTCTACAGCCAGTTACCCTCAGTCAACCCCCTATTCTTTTCATATATTGTGACATATTAAAGAGATATAGCTTGTTTCTTAACTCACATCTTTCCTGTAGCTCGGTTACCCATGCGTAATATTGTATAACTTTCCTACGTTACAAATGTTTCGTATTATTTTTTCTGGTTGAGGTCTTGTATTCTGCCACTTCTCATCACTTTCACAGATACTGGTTATAATCGTGAGTATTTACACAATTTCGTTGTATCTCAATGTACGTATGCGAAATTCCTATACAGCAGTTCAGTTTCTGGAGTGCCTGCCATTCCTACCGTATGTGGGTGACTAAACATAGTACAGTACTCCCTCTTTATCGACGGGGGTTACGTTCTGTAAACGGCCGTCGATAAAGAAACCGTCGATACCGTGGTTACGTAATTTTTCTAACTATTATTAGCATATGTTGAATAAATGTACCTTTAAGCATTAATGCGTTTCCTTTACACATAACCTTAAATAATAGTGTATAAATAATAATATAATAAGTGGACAAAAATACTAGCAAACTTACGATTTCATTTATTGAAGTGAACATCGGTCCTTACAGTAAACAAAACAGTGTACAGTACAGTAAAAGTCCAAAAATCCGGATGCCCAAAGCAAATTGTTTACCATTTATTATTACAACACTTTACACTGAAACGCGGGTAGTTTCAACAAAAAATATTGTATATTTCCATTCAAGTATTTATTCAAGTCAATTAGGAGGGCATATTATTGTAATACAACAGTTTTTTAACTAAACCATTCGAAAAGTGATTACGGTAACATCTTTTGAACGAAAGAAAGTGAGTCATTGTTTTCGTCACGATTTTATCCCACTTTCCACTTTAATACGTACGTCATTTCAACAAAAATATTACATTTCCGTGAATGTATTATATCAAGCACAGTATGAATAGAATATCATTGTAATATAACAGAATTTTAACCGAAAACTATTAAAAAAACGAGTAACATCTCAAGAACATCGGAAGCTTAGGTAAAGTCTTTTGTTTTCGACATGTATTTTATCCTATTTTACATTGAAATACATCACGTTTCAGCAAAACTACTATTTATTTCCGAGAATATATTCATTCAGGCGCAGTTTAGGTAAAATATACGTGTGATGTAATAATTTTTTAACTGAAAACGATTCGAAAAACACGTAGCCTCTAGCCCTGTTCAAGGAGAGGACTGGGAGAAGCTGTTTGGTGCTGCAGACGATGACAAGGAAAATGATTTTGATGGATTTTAATGAAAATATTCAGAAATATGGTATCGTAATATTTATTCAAGTCAATTAGGATATTATTGTAATACAATACAACAGTTTTTTAACTAAACCATTCGAAAAGTGATTACGGTAACATCTTTTGAACGAAAGAAAGCGCAAGTCATTGTTTTCGTCACGATTTGATCCCACTTTCCACTGTAATACGTACGTCATTTTAGCAAAAATATTACATTTCCGTGAATGTATTATATCAAGCACAGTATGAATAGAATATCATTGTAATATAACAGAATTTTAACCGAAAACTATTAAAAAAACGAGTAACATCTCAAGAACATCGGAAGCTTAGGTAAAGTCTTTTGTTTCCGTCATGTATTTTATCCTATTTTACATTGAAATACATCACGTTTCAGCAAAACTACTATTTATTTCCGAGAATATATTCATTCAGGCGCAGTTTAGGTAAAATATACGTGTGATGTAATAGTTTTTTAACTGAAAACGATTCGAAAAACACGTACCCTCTAGCCCTGTTCAAGGAGAGGACTGGGAGAAGCTGTTTGGTGCCAAAATAAAAATCCGGCTAAATAATCCGTCGATAATCGAAACCGTCGATAAAAAATCCGTCGATAAAGAGGGAGTACTGTACTACGGTATAGTATATAATGCTATGACATTATCTGGTTTAAGTGCTATGGGTTTTATATTCCTGATAATTTCTCTGTGGTTACTACACATGGTATAAGGAATAACAGCACATTAGTTTTACAATGAATCACACAATCAGAGATACCAACCTTACCAATACATGACGTCAGTCTCGCAGTGTTCGTTGTGAGAGCCATTGCACCCAGGGGTGCAGAATAATTTTTTGCTGAGTGTACATAGGGTGGTGTAATGCATCTAGTGTGGCAGCATTAAATAGTTTTAAGGTGCAAGCCCTACTTGCTTCCTCTCGCTTTCAGCTACAGCCCTCCTGGCGAACAGGGAAGCAACTTGCATAAGTCTTCCCCTGCCAGTATACAGCCTCTTCACCATCATGACTCCAGCTGTGCCTCCTCGTGGCAACACA